CTGCAGGAGCGCGAGGCCCGGCAGCGCGGCCATGGCCTCGCGGAAGTAGGCGGCGCAGGGCGGCGCGGCGACGACGGCGGCGACGCGGCCGCCGCGGCGCGCGACGGCGTCGCGGAGCGCGGCCGCCGAGTCCGCGACGGCTTCGACGCGCCACTCGCTCGTCAGGGTCGCGCGGATCCCGGCCTCGATGCGCGCCGCGTGGCCCAGGAGCAGCACCGTCGGCGGCGACGCGCTCGCCGCGCGCGCGCGGCCGCGCCGCCAGGACGGCGCGGCGGCCCAGGCCCGGCGGCAGGCGCGCGCCACGGCCGGCAAGGCGACGGCGCCGGCGGCGCCGGCGGCGACGAGGGCCGCGTCGCGCGCCGTCAGGCCCATCGTGCGCGCTGTCGCAGTGCTATGCACGCTGCGCGCGGCGCGGTCGAGGTGGTCTTCCTACTCGCACTGGGGTCGGGGCTGCTCGGCGATCGTTTCTTCTAAGATGCAGTAAACGTGAAGTGAGAGCATGGGCATGTGTCGTGGCCGCCGCGACACAGTCGTCGGCCTCGCGCTCCTGCTGCTGCGCGCGAGCGCGAAAGGCCTCTTCGACGAGATCACGCCGGCGAAGCCGCGCGTGCGCTCCGAGCTCGTCCTCCCGCCGCCGCCGCCGCCGCCGCCGGCGCTCGCCGTGGCGGCGCCGCTGCGGCCGATCCCGCCGTCGCCCTGGCCCGGCCGCGGCGCGGTGGTCATGGAGCGCGGCCGGCCGGCGCACGCCAAGGCCTGCTGCCTCAGCGCGCTGCTCTTCGGCGCGCTGCGCTTCGCGGCCGCCGCGCCCGCGGAGTCCGTCGAGCGGCTGCGGCGGTTCCTCTTCCCGTCGGGCGCGGCGGGCGGCCTCGCCTGGATTCGGGGCCTCGTCGTCGTCGTCGCGGCGGTGCTCTACGCCGCCGAGGCGGCGCGGAGCTCGACGCTGCGCTACGTGTCCGACGCGCGCGACGCGGACGCCGTCGACGCGTTCCTGCGAGGCGCCGTCGACGCCGCGCCCGTCGTCGCGTGGACGGCCGAGAGCTACCACTACGAGACGACGAGCCGCGGGTCCGGCGACGACCGGCGCACGTCGACGCGGCGCGTCGTCACGGCCGTCGCGCGGGAGACGTGGGCCTACGGCGCGTGGCGCGACGCGTCCGGCGGCGTCGACGCGCTCGCGCGCGCGTGGCGCCGGGCGTGCTCCGTGACGCCGTCGGCGCGCCGGGCCCTCGTGAAGATCCGGCTCCGGAGGAGCCTCGCCTTCGACGACGCGGCGACGGCCGACGAGTACGCCGCGGCGCTCGCCGACTTCGCGCGGAGGCACCGGCGCCGCGACGTGCACCTGTCGCTCGAGCAGGACTTCTCCTTCAAGGGCTGGGACGAGGACGAGCGCATTCTGGGCATCCGGCGGCCCCTGGGCGCGCCGGGCGCGCTCTGGTCGCCCGCGGGCTTCTGGGCCGCGGCCGGCCTCGGGCTCACGGTGCCCTACCGCCTCGCCTTCGAGCGCAAGTGCGCCGTCGCCTCCCTCGACGTCGCCAAGCGCGTGCGCTCCGCGCCCCACGTCGCCCGCGAGGCGGACCCCGTAATATGAGCGTCCGCGAGGCACGACGGGCTCGTCGGCGGTCTCGCCAGGCGTCTCTCTCTAGCGCATGAGGCGACACACCCCGCCTCTCTCTCTAGCGCATTAGACGAGCTAGCCCGCCGGCGCACCGCCTTGGGCGGGCGCGGGCGCTGGGGGCCCTCTACGGTCTCGGCCCCGGGG